GGAACTCGATGGGCCCGGCTCGGATCCAACCGATCAAAGACGACCTCAGGAGAGGTCCGACGGACCACACCCGAGCTCGGGGGCCTGTATGTTAATATCCGAGTCCAGCCCCAATAAGAGGTGCCGGTCCGATAGATCGATAGCCGAACGATGACCGGCCGAGTCAAAGGGGCCGGTCACCAAAGCAGCACGTGGGTGCCGAGCCGATCTGAAGTCAAAGTCGTCCGGAACGGCGGGAGGAACAGACCCCGAACTCGGCACCTCATACGTAAAGCTATGAGGTCAGCACCCTAATCGAAGTCTCATCAGAACGGCCCCAGATAGAAACTCGATCTCAAATACGATAAATTAAGGCCACTTGTCAACGAATGATTGCCGATGGGACGTCCTGCTCAGCCAGAACGTGTCCGCATTTAATGCAGCCCACGTCCGCATTAAATGCATGGCAGGTAATGATTGGAAAACCCCGAAATTACTCCCAATCAGTCAGAGAAGCGCCGGCCTGTCCCGCCAAGTTACTGTACGACAAGATTGATGAACACTGAACAGTGCCCAAACAGTGTCGCATTAAAGACCCCTATAAATAGCAACCCCCTCATTTATTTTTAGATTGTTGAATCCCAACTGCTCGAACTCATATTTTCTCTCTCTAGAGACTTGTAAGAAACTCTTGTTAGCATTGTAAGTATATCGCAAGTGCCGCCCTCGTACGAGAGGCCGACCTCGCAATCCGTTAATAAAACCGTAATTAAGCCGTGTTTCCTTGTCTTTATCTTACTTTCTTTCCGTTACTCGACTTTTTAACCGTTGACCGGAAACGTCCATCAACAGGTGATCCAGGAAGCTGAGTTGAAGTATGCGGAGATTGAGAAGTGCGCCTTGGCAATAAAGGTTATGGTGCGTAAATTAAGACCATATTTTTTGAATCATAAGGTGAAGGTAAGGACAAACATGCCACTAGGAGCAACACTTTGCCGACCCTCGGCCTCGTGTCAACTAGTAAAATGGGCGATCGAGTTGAGCGAGTATTCCATTATCTACAAGCCAAAGAAGGCAATTAAGGCTCAAGTTTTGCCGATTTTATCCAGGAGGGTGTTTGTCCCATTTTTGTTGCATTTTTTGTGCTCGTTTCGCTTTTTCTTTCCCCCCATTTTAGGTCGTTTCTTTCTTTTTTAGTCTGTTTTGGGTTTTATTATGTGTTTTCCTTCATTTTGAGTCTTTTAAGTGTTTTTCGTTTGTTTTTCCGGTTGTTTTTGTGTTTTGTCGTTATTGGTGTGTAGGTCGGGAGCTTCGGACGAACTTTATCTTTAGGAAAAATTGGTTTTGAGAGCATAATTGGATAGAGGGGTTCGTTAGCGACGGGTAAGAAAAAATGAAACTCAATTCCGAGTTCGGACGAGCCTAAACGAGCCCGAAACATTAAGCCGCGCGCAGCAGCCCAATTTTCTTCACCGCGGGCAGCGGAGGAATCCCGCGGCCGCGGAGCCCTTCTGCAGCTGAAATCTCGTGGCCTCGGAGCTTCCCGCGGCTGCGGAGGTCGCGACCAAAATTTTAAAAGCTAGATTTTGTTCATTTGTTCGAGTACTTTGCACTGGGACTCGTTCCCAGACCTAAAATAACACCCCAAACTCGTTTTTCTCCTGATTTTCATCTCAGAAAACACAATTGATCTTGGTTTTCACCTTGATTTCTTTATTGCTTTCGGATTAATCTCGTATCTCAGATTCAACATTCAATACCGTTTTAATCGTAAGTTTTTCTATTCATTTAATCCATGAATATGATTGTTGTGATTGTTGAGCTTGATTGTGTTGAATTGAATAGGAGTAATTAATTCGATTCGCTAGGGATAGGGGATGATGTTTTGAATTCGATTATGATTATCGTGCTTGTTGATCCTTCAATTTATACGAGTTGTTTTTAAAAGGGTTTTCGGTGATCATACTTGATTGTTGAATGTTGTTAATGAGTGACACCTCAACTTGCAATTGCTTTTCAATTGGACATGATTCATTCGGGTTTGATGTTGTTAATTCTTAAACATTAGTTGATTAACTACCTTCTAGTCCAATTTCGACTCTTAAAACCAAAAGGGAAGGAGTTGATCGATCTAGGCTCGTATAAAATAGGCTTGTTCATAATTGTATTGCCTATGTGTTAAACGACTCGTGAATTTTCCGTTCACATTTATCCTCTTGTTACGAAAAGTTATTGATGATGAATCTCTGAACGAGTAGGTTATTCGAATCCTTTAACCAAATGATCACTTGCCCGTTAATTGCATTTCGAACGGAAACAAATATCCCCGACTCCCTAGCTTCCTTAGCATTGTTTGTTTCATGTTTTTGGGTTAATTTAAGTTTTATGCATTTTCTGTTATTTTCTAGTCGACAGTTCAAACCCCAATCGTGATTAGAGTGTTTAGGATTTATTTTCTTTTCGTGTGTAATCGACACCAAAGCTAGATTCCGAACCACCTTCCTCGAGAGATCGACCCGGGAAACAAATTCTTGATTCGATACTCGGTAAAATATAACAATTTGTATAAAACAGAGGGCATAAGATTGGAGGTCAAATCAGGAGGAGTATTGCAATTGTTCATGGATGGTTCAGTTTCGAAAGGAGGAGCAGGCTTGGGTATGGTGCTCATGTCACCCAAAGGAGATAGTCTCAAGTTCGCGACCAAGTTTGGGTTCCGAGTGTCGAACAATAAGGCCAAGTATGAAACGGTGATTAAGGGTTTACAATTGGCCATAGAATGCGGAGCACGAGTGATCCAAGTGCACTTGGATTCCTAATTGGTCGTCGGGCAGTTACAAGGGGAGTTCAGTTCGTTCGAGTTTATTCAAATACCGTGAGGGGAGAATGGTCGAGCGGTTCTCTTGTCGAAAATAGCGCAGAGCCTGGTTGATTGCAAGAGTAAGAGTGTAACCCTGTTGGATATGGAGAAGAGTGCTGTGGACGTTGAGGTACCAGAGATCAAAGAGGTCAAGTATTGAAGGGTCCGGATATTAAAGGAGTTGAGAGAAGGAACTTTGAAAGTGATAAAGAGGTTTTTCGAGCAGGGAGGAATCCTTTATAAGAGGTCATATGCCGGACCACATTTGAGATGTGTGACTAAAGAAGAAGGTCGATATGTTCTGAAGGAGGTGCACGAGGGATGTTGCAGTGATCATAGCAAGGCGGGGGCGTTGGTTGCGAAAATACTTTGAGTAGGATATTTCTGGCCAACTATAAACATGGACGCGGTGTCAATCGTGAAAAGGTGTTTGCAGGGCCAATGCCGCAAGAAACAGGCAAAAGGAAATTCTTGATCGTGGCAGTCAATTACTTTACAAAATGGGTGGAGGCCGAGCCCTTGGCCAAAATAACGGAGGACAAAGTCATACACTTTTTATATAACAATATTTGCTGCAGGTTTGGTATTCCAAAGGTGTTGGTGTCCTATAATGGAACGCAATTCAATAGCAAACAGATTCGAGCATGGTTCGCAACATGAAGATCGAGCAACACTTAGCATCTGTCGCTCATCCACAGGCTAATGAACAAGTCGAGGTGACCAATAGGATCAGACTGAATGGGCTGAAAACAAGTCTTGAAATGGCTTCAGAGGCATGGGTCGACGAGCTTACATCGGTACTCTTGGCATATAGGACCACCCCGCGGTCGACGATAGGAGAAACCCCATTCAGTTTGGTCTATGGGATGGTGGCATTGTTGCCAGTCGAGGTGGAGCTAGAATCTCAGAGGTCGTGTGCGTATGATCATGGTCAAAACGAGAAATTGATGCTAGCGGCCTTGGATACAATCGAGGAACTTCGAGAAAAGGCATAAACTAGAGTTGAGGCCTACAAGCAGAGGAAGCGAGCAGCACATGACAGAAAGGTGAAAATCCGAAGATTCCAAGTACGCAGCTTGGTAAGGAAAAGAGTGGACGTCCTCAAGCATGTAGGCAAGTTGAAGCCTAACTGGGAAGGACCCTACCTGGTCGAAAAGGGACACGCCGGCGGAGCTTAGTCGCTTAAGGACATAGAAGGGCGATCGTTGGCCAGGTCATGGAATATTGCGAATTTGAAAGAATATTATGTCTGAAAATTTTTCTTTTCTAAGGCTGGTGTAATCAATTTAACTGTTCAATATTGATGGAAATTTATGACGATACCCAATATGATTGTGTAATTGTGTAATCTTATTTGTTGTGTTTTGGTACGATCTCGGTGGCAGGTCACTTGGATGTGTATAAGTTCCACCAAGATGATGGTCAAAGACAAAAACCCACCATGATTAAGGCCGGAAAGTTGGGTGGTTGCTTGTTTTGAACATTCGTTGGGGTGGGCAAGTGGTAAAAAAAAGTCCATGCCATCGGGCTAGATGACCACTTGTTTTGAACATTTTCTTGGGGTGGGCAAGTGGTTGAAGACAAAAAAATCCACCATGACTAAGGCTGCAAGGCTGGGTGGTCACATGTATCGACCACTCCTTTGAGGGTGGGCATGTGCTCGAAGACAAAAATCCACCATGACTAAGGCCGCAAGGCTGGGTGGTCGCATGTATCGACCACTTCTTTGAGGGTGGGCATGTGCTCGAAGACAAAATTTACCATGACTAAGGCCACAAGGTTGGGTGGTCGAATGTATCGACCACTCCTTATAGGGTGGACATGTGCTTGAAGACAAAAATCCACTATGACTAATGCCACAAGGCTGGGTGATCGCATGTATCAATCACTCCTTTGAGAGTGGGCATGTGCTTGAAGGCAAAAATCCACCATGACTAAGGCCACAAGGCTAAGTGGTCGCATGTATCAACTACTCGTTTGTGAGTGGGAATGTGCTCAAAGACAAAAATCCACCATGTTTTTGGCCGTGGGTGGGTGGTCGCTTGTTTTGAACATCCCTGTTTAGGGTGAACGGGTGGTCGAAATGATAAAATTGAAATTGAACATTTCCCAATGGAGGGTCGATTTACAAGGTAACTTGGGCAAATTCTCGCATGATCTTTCAAAAATCGAACGATCTCGATGAAAGAAGTAACTGGCTGTGATGAGGGGAGGAGGCAGTGCCTTGCTCCTCGATCGAAAGCCCCTTAGTTGAGGAGATGGTATGCCCGGGGTTTGTTGACGGAGAAGGTTGAGGCTCATGCTCCTTTTGGGAAGGAGATGGGGTACGACGAGGGAATGTCCTCTGGTCAGATGAGTGAGTGGTTTCCTTTCTGGTCGACTTCTTCTTGAGAGGGACAATTCTCTTCTTGAGAGAGAGTGAGAGTTTATCTGCAAGTGAACAAAGAGAAGTTAGCACATATAGAACAATAAGCGATCGAATACTATGGTTGATACTACCTGACTCATCACCAACTCGAAGATCATCGAGAGTCTGCTCGAGGGATGAAGGATATGGTTTATGAGTGAGTATGCCGCAGTAGTGCAAGAGATGAATGTCTTTAAGCAAAGGTATGGAGGCGATAGGGTTCGAGTTCCATAAATGAATGCGTTAGTCGAATATGGTGTTGGGAGGAGGACTCGCAACCTCAAAGGGAAGGAAATCGAGCCAATGGGTCGACTCCCAAGGAAAAGGAGCAGCAGGTTCGACAAAAACGAACTTGTGTTTCCATTTGGGAAAGTTTGAGGGAATGTCAGAGATGAAATGGGCATCATTTCGGCTTTTTAGGTAGAACCCATTTTCCTATTTGGAGGACATATAACAGTAAAACAAAAAATCTAGATCGACTCGACCTAGATGGACAACGGAGAGGACAATGAAAGCAGTTAAAAAGCGAATGGAGTTTGGGGGAATCTTGTTCAAAGACAAACAAAATAGCCGCACATTTCGACCAACGCGAAGCAGAGAGAGAAGAGAATGCCCAAATCGAACTGGACTTGAAAGAATAACAATTTCGGGGAGATTTGTCAAAAGTATCATGGTCGTTGGGGCTAATAAAATCCCATCTTAAAGAATGGCCAATTTCGTCGCGTTTCAACCATTTGGAATGGTTGGTCGAAGGGTTAAGTCTTGGTGGTTTTGGAAGAAGGTGGTATGGTCGAAGCATGAAGAAGAGTGGTCGAGGACACTGGATTGGGACGAGGGACTTCGTGTTCCTCCTCCTCGAGGGCCGCATCAGCAACATCGTGCATGCCAAAGGGCCGACGAGAGCGGCGGGTGAGAGGCGCGTGGTCAAGAACATTTTCGCCTGACTCATCGATCAAATGAAACAGCGGGCGAAGAGGAGAATGGTCGCGATGAGTTTGGACAGTGACGGCTGGTCGAATAATAGAGAGCGTGGTAGGCTCGAGGACTTTTTCGATTGAGGTATCAGGAGAAGCACCTGGCCGAGGGCAAGCCGACTGACGATGACCAATTTTGCCACACTAGAAACACCTAATCCCACCACCCTGCCACTGTTTGGTCTGAACACCCGCAATCGCTACCGAACTGCCTAGGCCCGAATCACCGGCACGGCCCGCTCCCTGAACCATGATCGCTGAAGGCGCGTCCATCCCAGCAGCGACCGATCTATTCGCAGCCAACCCCATGGCCGATGCACCCTTACCGGCACCTGCTCGCGGCGTTGGGAAAACGGCAGACTTAGATCAGCGTGAAAGTTGTTGCTCGACCATAATGGCACCCTAATGTGCTTTTGAAGTCGAGTCCAGGATGAACAGATTTAGGGTGTCCTGGATCGGCATCTGAAGGCTGCCGATATATTGCGAGACAAGTTGGTTCGTGGTCTCGCGAATATCGACGCGTGCGAGAAGTTTATAAAACTCCTCGGTGTACTCGTCAACCGAATGCGACCCTTGCCGCAAGTTCTGAAATTTTAAATAAATTGTACGGACATAATTGAAAGGCAAAAATTCTCGTTCGAGATGCTTACGAAATTTAGCCCAAGATGTAATTTTTGGTTTGCCCTGACAATGTCGTGCGCCTTTGAGTTGCATGAACCAAGCCGCCGCCTGGCCACGCAAACGCGTCGACTCCACAACGGTGAGCCAATCAAGAAACTCCGCGGCATTGAGCCCGCCCGAAAACTCCGTCACCTCCACCCGAAAGCCAGACTCCCAACGACCATCGCTGTCGTCGGCCGCGCGACGTGGCTCGCAAACCTCGCCCTAGCCCTGGGCGTCCTAGTGCTCCGCGCGCCACTCGCCATCATTGTCGTCTCTTTGGTCCCGTCGGATGCAAAAGAGGTTGACATCCGATAAGTTTTCTTCGCCATCCTCCAAGCCAGGCATAGAACGTGGCAAACGTAGATGGGGCGCCCCGACTGACCCTCTTCTGCCACGACCTCTTTGTAACCAGCAGGGCCCGCCCTGGCCGGCTAAGTCATGGTCTGTGTCTTCTCCGTGCATCATGGTACGGATCGCCAGACTGATTTCATCGATCCACGCAGTAAGACCCTCCACCCGACGATTTTCCAGCATGATTTCATCGATCCACGCAATAAGACCCTCCACCCGACGATCCACTTGTTCAATTTCAACTGAGACCCTCGGTGCGCCGATCCAAATCCTCAAGATGGGCATCACGTTGTTCGTTGTCGTTCCTTCTTGACGGCATCTTAAATCGTGTTGACTGCTAATACTAACTGATGTTGGCAGAAGCGTATGATGAGAAAAGAAAGTAAAACTCAAGAGATTTTTGATATTATTCGATAAAAAAACCACGGCAAATGCCAAGAGAAGAGAAATAAATAGAGTTCTAAGCAGTCCAAATCCCAATCTTGCTAGGCAAGTAAAGTCCTAATAATACAATTATTCTCCTACCAACTTAATAAAATAAATAAAGAAAATAAATATATTAAATATGGAATTAATAATCGTGCTAAAGACGGCATCCAATCATATATTTTTAAAAACTTAAATGCGATCTCGTCTCCATCACAATATGAACAAGAGTATAATATTTTATATATAAATATTCACATTTTTTGATAAAAGCATTCGTGGATTTTCACTTATTTTTAGTTTTTTTTTTTCGCAGCTTTTTTTGCAGCTTTTTTATATAAATAATAATTTTTAGGGACGGTACTTTTGCCATGTGTTTCGCACATTGCTATATTAAATGCAGTTCTTTACAGAAGGGACATTACCACCAGGCACCACCTAATCAATCGTATGTAAGCAGTATATTTGTACCTCCAATTCAATGCTGTCACATCTATTTTATCAAGGTAATTATACTATTTTTGTTTATTGCAAAACTAGGAAAATATTTCCTTAAACACAATTTCGTTTTCGTGAAGTTGATAATGATACATCACAATTTTCTCTGTTTCATTAAATAGGTATTGATTCAAATTAAAAGTGAAGCATAAATACAATATTGTATAGCACATGGGAGTATTGTCTAATTACTATACTATCTCGTAACGTGCAAGTAAAAAAATAATATAAATTGTAACTATAGTAAACAACTAATATTCAATTTTGTACATTTGCATAAATATAAATAAAATATTATAAGTTATTTGTATATACATAATATTAAAATTATACATTAAATAATGATATTATATTTAAACATAGAGTATCGATATCTATATATATATAAAGAGGAGCAACATAGCATTTAATTATATTATCATGCATTAAATTTTATTATCCCTCCAAAATTTTCAACATTCAATTTCATTTTTAAGTTACAAAATAATTTCTTTGAATGCCATAAATTATGAGCATAAACCAATCAAGAGAGTTATAAAATTGTACTCAAATTTTAAGCCATCCCACTCATGAAAATGACCAGATGTATTAGCAATTAACATACAGAAAATGGTTGTAACGGCACTTCCATAACAATTACTTGATCAAAATCAATTTTTTGAGAATTATTTTCTTAATTCATATTTTTTCATGAATTAAATTATGATTTTTTTTATTGTTATATTTTTCAAATATTATTCTCTGTACAAATGCACGAGTTGATTACTAGTATATATATATAAGGGAAAATTACACTTTACCTACCCAACTATTCGCTTTTTTACACTTTGCCCACCAAACTTCGTTTTGCGACACTTAACCAGGCAAACTCCGTAAAATGTTGCACTTCACCTGTTTCCGGTCACCGGCAGCCATTCTCAGGGGCGTTTATGTCTTTTCTTCTCTAAAACAGGGATAAAATTCCCAATTCTCAATTGGGGTTCAATTAAACCCGACTGAAAGAGAAAAAACCCCTAGTTTTGTTCAAATCGTGCCAAAAATTCTGAGAAAAAACAAAGAAGAACAAACCAAATGAACTGATTGAAAATCTATATTTTCTTCAAATCGTTTGTAATGGGTTGGCAAATTCGTGAGAAAAACGATTCATCCAGTGCGAATGGTCCGTCATATGGTAAGTCTTGTTTTGTGTTTTTTGCTGACAAAATATGTTAATTCATACAACAATTATTGTAATAATTTTGCAGTTTATAGTGATTGATTATATTTTTGTAATTGTCATATGGGTTGCAGGACCAAATGATGAATATTTTACAATTAGGGTTTACCATTGTGGCAAGTTTGTGGATTTGGGCCGCAAGTGTTATCTAAATGGTGAGATTTCACATGTCGATTATTGTCATCCTGATGAAATGTCATTGATTGAAGTAATGAGCATGCTAGAAGATTTAGGGATTGATGCTATAAAAAATGTGTACTGCAGTAGGAGTGGTGTTAATGACTGCAATGACCTTGTGTTGTTAGAAAATGATCATATTGTCATGCAAATGGTGTTTATGGTGGATGAACATAAATTAGTTGGTCTGTATGTGGAACATGAAATAAGCACCTCTGAAAACTCAGTTGAACTTCCTGCAATTAGTGAGCCTTTGGAATTTATAGGTGATAATGAAGGTGATAATGATGAATATGAACTGATTGAAAATCCTTCTTCTATGTGTGGTAATGTGGATGATCATGATAGGGGTAGGGGCACTTTTGATAATGGTTTGAGTAGTGATGATGAGCAATCCCTAGGGTCAGATTCTGAACTATCTGAAACTTTTGATGACAGTGAAGGAGAGAAATCTGATTTTGAATGTGATAATGATTGGTTTGATGATAATATTGATCTTGATGTGGAGTTTGGGGGTGTGGGGATGGACTTATCTCAAAATATTTCAAAGTCTGTCAAAACTAGAGCAGAAAGTAGTAAGGGTCATAAGGGTCATGCAATTTTCAATGAGAAGTCAGATATGAATAACCCTAAGTTTGAATTAGGAATGTTCTTTCCTGATATGGCCCAATTCAGAAAAGCAGTGAGAGAAAGTGCAATAAAAAATGGTAGAGATGTTTGTTTCAAAATTAATGAGAAGACCAAAGTTCAGGTGAAATGTAAGCATCAAAAGTGTCCATGGGTCATTTATGCTGCAGTGTTGTCAGGTGAAGACAGTGTTCAAGTTAGGAATTATAACCCCATACACAGGTGCCCTAGGAATCAAAGGGTGTCTCATGCCAACTCCAAATGGTTGGCTGAAACTTATAGAGAAAAAATATGGTCTGATCCTAGATGGCCTGTTGAGTCCATGCAGAAAGTCATGCAGAGTGAGCACAAACTTGTTTTCAACACTAGTCAGTTATATAGGGCCAAACAGAAAGTGTTAGCAAGTGGGTCTGGGGGACATTGTGAACAGTTTGCTATGTTGTGGTCCTATGCTGCTGAGATTAGAAAGACAAATCCTGGCACTTCAGTCAAAATCAAGTGTAAGAGGATTGGGGAACAAACTTTTTTCAAAAGGTTATATATATGCTGGGGAGCCTTAAGGGATGGGTTGTTAGATGGGTGTAGGCCAGTGATATTCTTAGATGGGTGTCATTTAAAGACATCAATTGGGGGGGTTATGTTGACTGCTGTGGGCATAGATGCCAACAATGGCATGTATCCCTTTGCATATGCAGTAGTTGAAAAGGAGAAGAAAAAATCTTGGAGCTGGTTTCTGGAGTTACTAATTAATGATTTGAATATTAGAAACCCCTACCATTGGACATTCATGTCAGATAAGCAGAAGGGTTTGGTAGAGTCCATTGACACTCTTCTACCTGGGGCTGAGCATAGATTTTGTGTGCAACATCTATATGCCAATTTCAAAGCCTCACATAAGGGCCTAGCTCTTAAGACTTTGCTGTGGAAAGCTGCAAGAGCCACCAGAGTTCAAGATTTCAAGAACACAATGATGGAGCTGAAACAAAGGGATGTACCTGCCTTTGAATGGTTAAATGCTAGGCCACCTGCACATTGGTCTAGGTCTCACTTCAGTACACACTCTAAGTGTGATGCTCTGTTGAATAACTTGTCAGAAAGTTTCAATGCTTTGATTATAAAGGCTAGATCTCAACCAATAGTGAAAATGTTAGAGATGGTGAGGATGACACTGATGAAGAGAATCCATGTTAAAAGGGATAAAATGCTGAAATACCATGGAAATCTGTGCCCTAGAATTGATAAGCTGCTTGAAGAATTGAAAAAGAAGAGCATGGAATTTGTGGCATATTGGAATGGTAAGGACCAGTTTGAAGTTGAGGGCAGTTCAGGAACCAAGTTTAAAGTTCACATTGGTGAGAAAACATGCACTTGTAGAAAGTGGGAGCTCAGTGGCATCCCTTGTCAACATGCCATATCAGGGATGTATTACTTAGGTCATGAACCTGAGGATTATGTTGATGAATCATTGAAGAAAGAAACTTACTTAAGGGTTTACAGTCATTTGATGGGAACTTTAGCTAGCTCAGATGAGTGGCCTGAGGTTGAGGCTCATCCATTAGTCCCACCAGCAGTTGGGAGATTACCTGGAAGACCCAAGAAATATCAAAGGAGGAGAAGCAAAGATGAAACCAGTGGAAAAAAACTGAGTACACATCAAACTGGCAATGGTGTGAGGCTCAGCAAAAAAGGAGTGGTCATGAAATGTTCATTTTGTAAGCAACCAAATCATAATGCTAGGGGTTGTCCTAAAAAACATGTTTCTGAAAAAACCACTCAAGGGTTAGATGTGCCGGCTGCCAATGAGAATGCAAGAAAGGTACAAATTACAATCATTTGTTGTAATCACAATTTATATTTTTCATTTTCTGTTCATTAACCCAGTTTATATTGCATTGTAGGCCTCAAGATCAAGAATTAAACCAGTTTCTGCATTAAGAGGTGAAGGGTCAACTGTGTTGTCAACAGAAAATGAAGTTGGAGGAGTGGTACAATTTATAATCATTAGGTGTAATATTTTTTATTTTCTAATTTTTGTTCATTAATCTCAGTTTATTTGCATTTTAGGCCACAAGATCAAGAATTAACAAACCAATTTCTGCATCAAGAAGTGAAGGGTCAAATGTGTTGTCAACAACAAATGAAGTTGGAGGAGTGGTACAATTTATAACAATTAGTTGTAATCATTATATATTTTCTAAGTTTTGTTCATTAATCTCAGTTTATTTTGTATTTGTAGGCCACAAGATCAAGAACTAAAAATCCAGCTTCTGCATCACCAAATGAAACTGGAAGAATGGTATAGTTTATAAACATTTTTTGTTATCTGATTTATAGAAATGTAATTGTTGTTCTCTAACCCTTTATTTTTGCATTGTAGGCTACAAGGGCAAACAGTAAGGTAATAATTACTTAATTTAATTCTGTTATGGTGAAGTTCATGATTAGGTAGTAACAAACACATCTCAGAAATCTAATTGTTGTTATCTGATTTATATACTTATTTCACAGGGTACTAAAAGAGTTCTTGAAGTGGGTGTTTGTGGTGGAGCTGAGCCTTTCAAAGTTGCTACTACCCAACAATCTCAGAATGCACCTAAAGCCAAAAAAATGAACATTCACAAGGGGAAGGATAAGAGGAACAAGACCCCTGAAAAAGCTAGGCATTAGATAATGTGAAGTTTTCAACAGTTTGGTGTGTTTTTGTTGGCAAGTTCTACAGACAATTGTAATGAATGGTCATGCACTTTTTTTTTGCTTTTGTTTTTGGTGTGTTTTTTGTTGGCAAGTTCCACAGTTTGGTTTTTGCTTTTTGGTTTTTGGGCAATGTTTTGTTAGAATGTTGATGTTTAACAATGAATGAATGGTGAAGTTTATGTCTTATCAGATTGTGTTGTATTGACAGTGGCTTATGTTGGAAAATGGATGAATGAATGGTGTAGTTTAACAATGAATGAATGGTGAAGTTTATGTCCTATCAGATTGTGTTGTATTGACAGTGGCTTATGTTGGAAAATGGATGAATGAATGGTGTAGTTTAACAATGAATGAAGACAAAGATATAATATCTTCAACCAGTGATTCATATTGATTGCCAACATGTTCAGATGAACTCAGAATTTGCACAGCTTTGGAATTATTCAAGTAACAAATGCCAGATTGCCATTTCAGTTCTTTGAAAAGTCCCAGACAAAGATATTTTGTTTGTTTGAGTTTAACATATTGTGATGGGTTTTGTGTCAATTGTAACTCAAAGATTCATGACAGAATCTTCACAATCTATTCAATGCACAACGAAAAAAATTACTTACACATTGCACAAGGGACAACATTACATCTTCAAGCAAATTCATTGCACAACCGAACTACATAAAAAAGTCTTACACATTACATTACAAAATTCCACACAATCATGTCTTAAACATTACAGAATTCTTTCACATTCTACCAAAACAAGTCTTACACATTAAACCACCAAACTACTTCATTTTTTCAAAAAAAAATACAGAATGATCCAAGAAGCAACAAGAGCAAACCACATTTTTTTTGCCCGTTTTCTCTGGCTTGCCAACTCGGCTTCAGCCTCGTCAACACGCCTCTTAAGCCCTGGGATGATTTGTCAAGCTCTTGTGCACATTGGAGGGTCGATCCAAACATAATATTTGCAGCCCTTCTGACGAGAAAAAAAAAATTATACTATCTATCATATCAAATTGTTTTAAGCTTACCCATCCACTTAATTAGGATTTTCTACACAAAAGGAGAAAAAAAATGTACCCGTCCTTTTTTGCAGGCTGCATACCGCCTTCCCGGGTTGTCGTCTGTCCAAGATGTGATCATCACCGTCTTCTTTCCGCACCTACAATACTCATCCAAAGTGACTTCAGATGTTTGCCTCCAGATCGCCTCTTCCGCCATTTCTTCAAGATTCAATTTAGGTTTTTGCAATTTGGGGATTTTTTTTCTTCGATTTAGGTTTTATAAGATCAATTGTAAGAGAGGATATATGTTCAGACAATTTTATCCCTGTTTCAGAGAAGGAAAAGACATAAAAGCCCCTGAGAATGGCTGCCGGTGACCGGAAACAGGTGAAGTGCAACATTTCACGAAGTTTGCCTGGTTAAGTGTCGCAAAACGAAGTTTGGTGGGCAAAGTGTAAAAAAGCGAATAGTTGGGTAGGTAAAGTGTAATTTTCCCTATATATAATTCCTGACAATGCATTTAATAAAAATATTTTCATTTTCCCACCCAAATTCTTTTATGGCCTAAAAAAACAAAAAAAGAATTCTGTAAAGCCTAAAAGAAAATTAAAGGTACAAACAATATATCACATTATTAATACAAATCCTTTACAAATCAATCAGTATTCCATATATTCAATAAAGAATTTCCAACAGTCTGCTGATATTCCTGCAATTGATGAAAAAGATTGGTGATAAATAATAACAATAATTTTATAATAATCTTGGTATAATTAGTTTTGTACATTTACACATATATGGTATTGGAAATTCATTTAATTTTTATACATTACTATTTTAAATATTCATTTTTTACATTCTTATATTAATTGATTTTTACAATAAAATAATCGAGCGAGAATGTGGTTGAATATAAACTTTAGAGCATCTCCAGTGCTCAATGTTGTAGTTGTAAATTATGTTCCAAGTCAACACATTTATTAATATCACAACTTTCAATCTTCCAATGTACAATGTGATTACAAATATTGTGATGATGTGGACATCATTAATGTCTACAATGTATAGAAGAATGCGGTCTATCCACATTCTCATCCACACTCTAGCTAGCCAATGAAGAGAAGAGAGAGAATTACTATTATCATTTTTTAACTATTTAATTATTTGATTAATTTCATTACTTCATATTAAAATTTTAATATTTGGTAAGTAGATTATATTGTAATTTGACTACATTGTGCATTGAAGATGATTTTTTAATTTACTAATTGTGAACTCAACATTTGTCCTACATGGTTCACAATCTATTTAATTTTTCGACATTTTGTCAAAATTTATCCTACTACATTATTAGAGCATTGGAAATGTTCTTGGTTACCAAACATTATTGTATCTTTGACTTCATGTACAAAACTTAAGCGGGAATATATATATATATATATATATATAGGATGTGGTTCAAATGAGAACCAAGTCTTAGCGTAAGAACTGTGAGAACCGCTATTTATTGTTGCAAGTAGTGCTATGATTTATCGTGTTTTAGTGCTATTTTTAACATGGATTTATTTTCTTAAATATAGCAACACAATTTATATTAGCATTTGTGAAAATGATAGCACCATGTAATATTAAAAATAGCATCATACACAATAAAAAATAGTATCAAATACGGTTATCACGGTTCTCACACCAGGACTAGTTTTTATTTGAATCACTCCTTATATAAAATATAATTGCTAACAATCCATTAAATAAAATCTCATAAATTTTACCTCATAAATTATACCTACTTGGCACCTGACGTTTCAAAAATTGGTTCTGTTAATTAAGACAAAATCGTTACATTTTATATTAATTGAGTAATATTTATATTTTTTTGTATCATATAATAATTATTATTCGAATTAATAATTATATTTTACACTAAATGATATATGAAAGTTACATAAACGATAAAAGAATATATTGTAAAACTTATTGTTCAAATTTTTTCTATTAAAATCAATATTATATTTTTATCTGATTAAGCGAATATTTTTTAAATAAATTAATTTGTTTTAATGTCGTAGTAAAATTCTTTAATATCGCATAAATAGTTATTATAATAAACTTAATATTTATTAAAAAATTAATTAGTTATTATCTCTCAAAAGTACAAATATTAAATTATTTATTACATTTTATGCAATCAATATAGTGATTGATATGCAATCAAATAGTTACGTACTATTTATTTTAACAAATGATTAAATTTTAAAACATAATACCATTATCTAACTTATAATTTTAATATTATATACATAAATATAACTTATAATACTTTATTTATATATGCGCAAATGCACAGAGTCGAATACTAGTATATATATAATTGCTAGCAAATCAATTAATAAAACCTCAATAGTTTTTCCTCTAATAGACACTACAAGTATTTTTTTTATATATCTATTTCTATATAATTTTAATCTATTAAATTAATGGATGTGACAAAATTTCCCCTACAAATGTTTCAATTATTTATGCTAAAACCTTTACATTTTATATTCATTAAGTATAATCATATTCTATTATTTATATTCTTTCATACAATAGCTATTAGTAAAATCAACTAATTATAATTTACACTAAATGGGAAATGTAAGTTACATAATCATCAAAAATTATATTGAATTTTTTTTCAAGATATTTATTCTAAAAGTAATATTAGTTTTTTAATCATATAATTAACTTAGTGCAATGAAAACTTCCTTAAACAATTTTTATAATAATAATAATAATAATAAATATTTATTGTTTTAATATTTTTATAGGTAATTAATTGGTCATGATCCCAAAAATTAAAAAACAAAATAATAAATTATGTACTAGATTTTATGCGATCAGTATAAAGATGTGATATATACAAATTATAAAATGTGATATATACAAATTATATGTTTATATAATTCATAATACTTTATAATTTATATCTGTGCATGTGCACATGATTAACGACTAATTATACGTTATATTTATGCATATAACATTAAAATTATAAGTTAGATAATGTTATTATGTTTTAAAATTTGATCATCGGTTAAAATAAATAGTACATAACAATTTAATTGCATATGAATTACTATATTGATTGCATAAAATATAATAAATAATATAAATTTTGTAATTTGAAGGATCATAATCAATTAATTAGCTAAAAAATATTAAATATATTATAACAATTGTTTATGCAGTTTTAAGAAATTTTTTTATGACATTAAAACAAATTAATTTAATTGAAAATAATCACTTAACTAGATTAAAAAAATATAATATTAATTTTAAATAAATAACTTGAACAAAAAGTTTTATAATATAATTTTTTATGTTTATGTAACTTTCATATATCATTTATTAAAATATATTATTAGTTTAAATAATAATTATTATATATACAATAAAAAATATAATTATTACTCAATTAATATAAAATATAGCGATTTTTGTCTTAATTATTCTAAAAAGATATAAAGAATATTTTATCATTAATGAGATAGGGTGGATTAATGTAATAATAATATTGAATTGTAACGGTTATTAGAAGGATGCCACATAAGTAAAATTTATTAGATTTTATTTAATGATTTACCAACAATTATATATATATATTTCAAATTATAAGTTATCTGATAATATAACATGAAAAAAGTTATGGTACTCGTGCAAAATGATTAACGGTAATATATAATTTATAATAGCAAGTTTAAATACCAAATAAGGCTTACAAAATGTGGCAACTGGCAAATAATATATATATTGCTTTGTCAAATACTTGGAAAAAAATCAGAGCCATGCTTCTAAATAACAGTTATGATTGTCACCTTTTATTTAATGAGAAGCGGTCCACCTTGTACATCATGGACAAACTCTCCCAGGAGACTCCACATTCTATTTAATGTGAACCGGCCCCACCTTGTACATCATGGACAAACTCTCCCAAGTGTATGGAGACATTGAGAACTACTCATTTTTTATGGTTCCCAATAAACTTCATAAATCTTATATTGTGAGCATTATATTGTTGTCCAATGGGATTGTTCACTTGCCTACCATAGATTTATTAAGATGTGTATATCAACCACATATCAAGATTTTGGGATCTTTCAAACACATACTGGACTGTAATCTCATGTCACATCAGTTAATGAACATATTAACTCGTATCCACCGTTGGTAAGAGAGCGAGACTGTGATTTCTAATATATTCATTGAATCACGTCACAAAGTAATTCTTTTGGATCCATCAACTTGTAGTATAGTATCATCTTAAAAACCGATCATTGGTGTTTGCTCTTAGCCAGAAGGGCTTCGTAGCAAAAAATATATCTACGCAGTCAGCTCACACAAACCGGAAAAGACTTTCTATGCGGCTATGCACAAGAAACCTATTTACGTCTAACAGTGTTAGACTTATATGACATGCCTACTATATATCCTATCAATATAGTTTAACGACACATTATAATATCGAATCATACAACTGAAATTATACGACCTCAACGTACTAGCTATCAGCAAGTAGGGATATAAAAGTTATATGTTTGGTCAGAATAAATCGTACCGTGCGCATGTTCTTCTTATTAATTTCATTTCATCATAATAATAACTCCACATTCTAATTGAATTTTATATTTCATATATATATATATATATATATATATATATATTTTTGTTCGTGCCGTGTCATGTCGCGTTGCATTTATTGGTCTTTGTGTCGTATTCATATTTCCATGTCTTGTGATCGTCTCCTAGACTCAAATGCTAGCATCCTAGAAAACGTTTCCAACATTTCAAAAGTAGTTTGTTTGATCTCAACTTTTTCCTTTACAAACAATCCCACATTTTACCACATTTTCACACTATTATTACACGAGGCCATGATGATAGTACACACAAAGTGGCAATGTCACTATAAGTTGTCACAAGACACGAAAAGCACCAAACCTACCAGTCCTCCCTCGAGATCACTTATACACACACCTAACTCGAATATATCTATTGTTCCTCGTATATATAAAAGCTTAGACCACTTATTGCACACAGTGGCAGCTTAGCCTTTTATAATAATAATAAAGTAATAATAATAATAATTAAGCACGTGTTAGAATATGGGACGAGCACCTTGCTGCGAAAAAACGGGCCTCAATCGAGGCAAATGGACCGAGGAAGAAGACGATAAGTTGATCAACTACATCAAAATCAATGGAGAAGGTTCTTGGAGATCACTACCCAAGAATGCCGGTACGTATAATTAAGGCCGTTTATATAACTCAGATAAGATGTTTATTACAAGACAATGAGAGATAAAATATTATTGTTTAAATCTTTCTAAGATTTTTNTGCTTAAAGGATTGTTGAGGTGTGGGAAGAGTTGTAGACTAAGGTGGATTAACTACTTGAGAGCAGATTTGAAGAGAGGGAATTTCACCACAGATGAGGAGGAGACCATTGTCAAGTTGCACAAAAGCTTGGGAAATAGGTAAATAATATTTTTCTATTATTATTATTTCATCACCGAGTTTCACTCACATGTTATATGTGTAAAGAAAACTTTGACTTGATTTTCAACCCCAGGGCGGATCCATGCCCCTCCAGCTGGGGCCTAGGCTACACCTAAAATTTTATATTTTTATTACATAAGTTAATTTAGAAAATAAGTAAAAATTTGAGTAAGTTTAGAAAAATAATTTATAAATGAAGTTGTTTATTAAGTAGGTTTTTTTTCTATCCATTCATATTACAATTATCTTATTGCAATGTCTTATTTATCCATTTTATATTTAAATAAATTTTGTCATGACTTTGCATGCTAATATAATAATTGTTCGGTTAAAAAATTATTGCCAATAAAAATTCTGTAAACAATGGAATCAACTAAGAGAAGAAATTATAACAAATTCTTTGATCCAACATATTGAAAAATATTATCCCTGTCCTACCCATGACGAGTATTAATATTTTAAGAATGACATATATTGTATGAAATGTGATTGATTAATCATAAAATCTTGGCATATATAATTGGTATGAAGGAATGACATGGAAATGGAATGATCATTCCCTTACTAATTCCTTATCCCCACGATTGGTATATTTTTTTAAAGGAGTGACAATTCCATTGCAAAATTCATCTCCATGGGATTAGTCATTTCATAGCTAATACGAGGTTTTTCCATCAATGGAAAAACTTGTTTCATTCATTTTATATAATTATTTCATTCTTCAACTCATTCAATTCTTATCAAATTACATTACAATACATGTATTTGCAGTTGATAGATGAATAATTTTATATTGATAATAAAACATTTTAAGTCATCAGATAATAATATTGAAATATACAAATTGTAGGGTGTTTTAATATTTTGACTTATTTAAAAATTTAAATTTATACATAATAGTAATTTTGCACGTCTTATTTTGTGCATTTTTTTTTTCATTTTTTCAGTTATCACAAAATTTTGGCTCAACCTCATTCCATTTGTTATGCTACGTACTTGGTGGCCACCCGTTAGTTGGCAATCTTGAAAGTCACTTTCAATGAACTTTCAAAACTTTTATTAAAAACACGCACTCTCATATTCATAACTCATTCAAGGTACCAAGTAGTTGAACACTACTATTGATATATGTCAGCGTGTGGTTATTGATTAACACTTTCCAGTTTTTGAAATAAATAAAGATTTAGATAAACCATTGAGAATTTGATTTCCAAGCAATTAAAAATGAAGAAATAATGTAAAAATTGAATTTCGACCATCCCAATCAATGCCTTTATTATTACTGGTGCAGGTGGTCCTTGATAGCCAGCTATTTACCCGGTAGAACAGACAATGAGATAAAAAATTACTGGAACTCACACTTAAGCCGTAGAATTTACAGCTTCAGGTCCATAGCCAACTCCCCCTCTCCTCTCTCCCCGGCTGACATCATCAAGATGGCCAAAACAGCCAAGAAGAAGCCCACGGGCCGGCCCATCCCTCCGAAACGCAGCAAAAACACGGCCCGCAAGCAGAAACGGGCCCCGGGCCAAGAACTCGGCCCGGCCCGAATTAACAAAGTGACCACAAATGTCGCGGGCCCGCCACAAATGTCGAGGCCCGGCCCGAAAACGAGTTCCGGGCCGGAGGAGTCGGGCCCGGATGCAGAGCAAAAGAGCGAAAGCCCGATAAAAAGTTCGTCGATCGAGGGCACGGAAGGAGGAGAATGGGCCTTTGCCGCATTTATGGCAGAGGTTTCGGGCCCGTTATGGGAGGAGGAGATAGACGAGGAGGCATTAATGAACTTTGAGAAGTTTCTAGAAGAAAGTGATGTCACGGTGGGACCGGAAGGAGGCATTCTGCCTATTAACGATGATGTCACGGAAAAAAACATCGTGGCTTCAGAAATCGAGAGCTTGTACGCGTGCTCGACGTCTCCCGTGGCTTCGTATTTCGACGACCAAATGTTTAGTTGGGATGATGGTGGAGATGTGTTTGGGGACATTGTTAGTAGTATTTGGAGTGAGGAGGAAGAGGACATTAGGATTTGGTCATAGGAAAGGGAAATAGCAAATAAGGATAATAGTGACAAGTGAGTGGTGGGTTTTAAATGAGAATTGGGAATGTTTAGAGAAAGTTTGATCTAGATTGTCATATGCAATGTAAGAAATCTTGGAACAAGTTGAAATTTCATTCCATTTTTTTAAGAAATAAGGAAGATCATGAAATAGGCATGGGGATTGGATTAGCAATCACACCATGTAACTGCAGAGGTTTTTTTACTGTTAGATCAACACACATCAGTCACCCCGGTAAAAAATTCGATTACTTCACTCGAATGAGCACATTTGTAGAAACTCTCTCGCATTGCTATTTCTTAATTCCAAATCAAGGGAACTCGAGAAACTTGTATGACGGCGAAAAAATAGTCTATGAAACAATGTCGAGAGATCTACATTGAACGTAAACTACAAGTTCCTAACCACTAAAGCAACAATACATCGGTCACTAGTTCATCAATCAAAGAATTAAGTATGCGGGTCTCGATTTGCATCCCGAGCTCAAATGCCTCAACGTCAAAGTCGAGCCATTTTCCATGCACGCTGCTCATGTCCTTGTCGACAAGCTCGTCTATCATGGAATCTCCTACTCCAGTCGAGCCCATAATTTCTTTTAAAACCTCCTCAACTAGTTTTTCCTTTCTTTTAATTACCGATACACCCTTGGCCCACGATTTGCATCCTTGGCTAACATATGGTGTGAATCTCAAATCCATGCATTCGTTTACGTAGTCGAACAAAAGTCTCCTTTCGATTCTTGGAATGTCTCCGGATATACTCAACTGCCCTTTCGAAATTTCGAATTCCAGTTGGTCAAAGAGTTGAGGTTTTATGAGCCCTTTAGATTGACCAAGTGCATAATCCTCAAACATCGGTTGTAGATGGAAAAGTATCTTGCTTATGTACGCGAGTTCCCACTTTCCGGGGGACTTTGCAGGGTTAGTCAAGTCCAAGGGTGTTTTTGTCACTTGCATTTTCACAACGGTGCCTGTAGAATTTGACGAAGCCGAGTCGCATAATTCAGCATCTCCTTCACCTGTTAGGAAATTTTTTGAGGAATACATATCGAGCAGTTCTTGAGCTTGAATCGATGATGAACATTGCTTGCTACCTGCATTCGGTAATATATAACAAGTAACGTTTAGTTTGTAGAATTTGAAAAATTACGTAGGAAAAAATTATTTATGAAAAGAAAACTGATGTCAGGGCTAAATGTGAGAAAACCCAGAAGTTAATGAAATATTACGGCTTCAGTTTTTGAAGAGAATGTAACACAAAACTAAGATTAAGAGTATTTTTGTGATTCTCATACATGTGAGTTTTTTGTTTTTTTTTTTTCTGTAAATAGCTCAAATTTCAGAGTCATTTGCAGTAATAGTAAAAGCACGTTTGATACCTCCAACAATGTTGCTGTCTAAAGTGTCTGAAGAGTTGCAACTTTCAGCACAAGGAGAAAGATCAAGAACTGAAACTGGACTTGGAAGCCGACAATCGAGTGATTTATCAGCCTGAGATATGTAGCTCTCGGTCATGCTAAATTCTTCCTCCAACCCCTACATAGAACAACGGATATATAATGTTAATGGCTTCAATAGCATTCTTTTATTGCGCTACAATAATTTTGAAATTTTTTCTAATGGCTGTCCTCATTGTATCTTTTATTGCTGCAAGCAACTGATTCAGTAAACTGAAAATTTTAGTTCTTTGAGATAACAATGGTAAAAATAAGCTCATAAAGATATATAAACATTTTTACCAAATTATTTTAATATAAACATTGGGTGTACCTGATTATCTATGTCCATTTCATCTACAGCTTCATTCTCTTCCATCTCGTTCGACCAAATTACTGCCTTACAATCAGATACATTCATGTCGTTTAAAACAGAACCCGACTTGTGTTTGGAAAACTCAACCTTTTGAGCCAACTCTTTAATCTTTTCTTCCAAGAGACTGCTTAATGCATGACCACTACTCATATTATGCCCAACGTACGACTTTTTACTCTGAAATCCTGATCGAGTCATTGGGGCATTGAAAGTGAAGGAAATAACATCTGTTCCGACTTTACCCCTATCCTTAACAGCTTCGCTTTTTTCCGAGTTGTTGTAATTCCCATCCACGCATCTTTTCTTTCGAGAAACTATTTCCGAGCTAGAGGCAGAAGAACACAACGCTTTGTTCTTATCGTCTTTCACCTCAGAGCCCGACTTTTTCGAAGAACTACTAACTCTAGACATCTCACCGAGTTTGCTTTTCGCGACATTCGTTTTGGATTTTACGGGTGATTTTCCCCTATCGGCCGCCATGCAATTCTGTTTCTGGTTATTCTGGCGAAGCACATTCATCATACCATTTGGGCCACCGCTATGCTTCTTTGCAATATTTTGATTTCTGCAGAGATTACTACTGTTATTATTACTAGGACTGACCTCAGACGCTTCTTTCTTGTCTGCTGCATGCAAGCCTTCTCTTTTCTGGACGTTCGCCTTCGCCTGTAAAGCAAGCGAGATCGACTTTCCCTTATTCTCCGGGCCCAACTGCGGCCTGTTCCAGCTTTTGTTCATGGACTGATGTCCCTTGAGACTCTTAACTGTACTAGCTTCGGAATTTTTTCGGGAACCCTCAAAAGCCTTCGATGGAGGTTTTCGGGCCAGTCGAGCTTTCTCCTTGAGATCCGCCGGGGGCATTTTCGTCCTTTCGCTCGGACCAGGTCTTGGCTCGATTATCCTAGCGGCAGCCTCCATTACTCGAGCTGCATCCTTAGACGGCGTGAAATGAGAGCTTTTTATCGGAGAAAGAAGCTTGTGCTGGGTGACGGGTATCGATTTTGCCGTTTTTGGCGGCAAGACTTCGGTTTGGAATTTTTCGATGGGCCGATTTATGATCTTGACAGCACTATGGACAGGCAAGTCGTGCAAACGGCCGGATTTTGTGTTACGATCTTGAAAAGGTTCGGTTTTCTGAGTTTTTTGTTGTTGGTGGTAATGATTTGGGGTAGGAAGGGAGTGAAAGTCAGTAAGTGGAGTGGATTTTGGCAAGGAATCTAATCCCATAAGCTTCGCAACAACTCCTGGGGCCTTCGTCTCGTAAAAGTCCTCATCCATCAGTGATGAAGAACAACTATAATCACTGCCTTCTTTTATACTTGATGATGATCCAGCTGTAATTTCATCAACTTCCAACTACACATAGAAAGAGGGAGTCTTTTTTTAACTTTTGCTACAAAAAATGAGTACGAAATGAAAATTTTCAACTAAATCATCATCCGTTTGATAATATTCTCACCATTTGAAGCCGAGTCCTTGGCAAGTTTCCATCACATCTTTTCTTCTGTTTGGATCGCCCTACATTAATTAGAAAAGAACAACATTGTTTGAGAGTTAAGAATTTGTGGTTTATAACAATTTGACGTGTAGATATAGAAAGAAGAAAAAGCACTAGCGGACGGTAGGTACAGATGAAAAGACAAATTTATACAAAAATCAAAACTGTACCAGTTGAATCGGATTTGCTCGAGAACAACTTTTTTCGAGATTTTGCATGCCAATCAAACATCTGAAGAAAGCCTCCGACATAATTTCCGCCTCTAGAGCCTTGTTTTTCAATCCCCATCCTGACAAGTCGACATCACATTAGGGTACACGAAAAACAGGAAAAGGAATGACATTACTTCATCAATAGCTTAAACATTAAGAGAGAAACAAAACATAATGCACAACAATACATTCTGAAAGTTTCATTTCATGATCCGAAAGAAACAACACTTTTGGGATTCCTTACAATGTAGTAAAGTCAAAAGGGAATAACCAATCCATTATGCAGCATCTGAAGAACAATAGTACTAACAAAATATTGCACAGAACTTTTTCAGGTGCTCGTGTGAGTGAAAGCGAAGATTAGGTTCAAAGTTTATATTAAAAGCTCCAGAGAACAAAATATGGAAAAACTATGATTGGATAAACTGGTATTTTCAAGGTCAATAGCTACATTATGCTCTCGCTGAATCAGCCATCACTGGATAGTTGTGCCTCAACAGCTGGACTTAGTTTACATGCCTAAGATGAAAAATGGGATTTATCTCTCCAAGTTTATATGGAAACACAGTAAATGAAATACTCACCAGCAACAGGACTACCAAAAGCCCAAAAAATGTGGCAAGAAGATATATTTCCATCTATAAATTATACAATCAAAATAAATCCTACTTAAGTGCATACACTTTATAACATCAGAATTCATCCAAAACCCACATCTTCAAACCCATTTCAATTACTGCCCCCAAACTCAAATTTAAGGCTCTTAAAGAAATAACTATAAATGGGCAATTTAAAAAATTAAAAAGACAAATGATGGTTATCTCCAGGCAATAAATTTCAAAACTAAAGTTCATTTCTTGAAGTCTTTACAGATTTCTTTATAAATCGTACTCAAGTCAAACTTCAATTCAGCAAATTTTAACAGAGCTACACATACGATTCGTAACAGAATAATGACAATAAAGATCACAATTATACTACTGATAGTTAAACTCAGCTTAACAACAAAGCATAAAAAAGACCTAATCTTTTTCCATTCTTGGACTTCAGAGCATTAAAAACAATGTGAAATCAAAAAAACTCACAGCCCAGTTGAAATCAAGACTCTTGAGCTTGAGCTCAACCCCTCTATACAAACTTTATGGGAAAAAGTCTACTGTTCATCAAGAAGAAACATACACTGGACTAAGAAAAATGGTGGCTGAGATTTGAAGGGAGAAAGAGAAAATTTGGAAGTTCTTGGTCAGAGAGAAAGAGAGAGAGAAATAGAGCAGTGAGAAAAGGAGTTGTCGAAGAGCGTTCTTTTGCGTTAGAATAGTTTAGGTAATAAATGAGGTCACGGTGGAAAAAAAATTGGATTTATTTGGAGGGTTTGAAAAAATAAATTAAAGGATTAAATAACTTAGATATACAATAGTAAAATAAGGGCTGTATTAATTTCTAGTTTCAATTTTTTTTTTCAGATACTAAGAATTTGGTTTATTTAATTAAGATTTTTTTTTTATAATTTTTAAAAGTATTGAGTTGTCTTATTTGAAATTTGAAAAGATTGTAAAAAAAATTACGAATTATTCAATTTATTTACCACTTCAGTTTGTATGGTTTATAAGACGTGAACAATGAAATTTCAAAGATAAAATTCATATTACACGAAATTTCGCAAAAAACCTTAACTCACTCTCTCTCTATATATGGATATGATTTTCAAGAATTTTATTAAATTAATAAATCTTACAAAACTTGATTGTTTTTTAAAAAAGAGCCCCAAAAAAGTTGAATCCTACTAAATTTTTTTATGGAAATTAAATGGTAACTTGTGAATAAAAGGTTAAAAGTTGTAACGTCTCTTTTTCCTGGGAGGGGAGAGATTTCAAATTCCATGGGAAGTGTGGGGCCCATCATTAGAGTAGGGTTTAATTGCCTGCGTGGCGGTGTAGGTAAGCCTATCTTTGGTGTAGCAAGGTTGTGCAGTTGTGCTTTATTTATTTCTTTATTTTTTGGTACTTATGTGTTTGTTTTTTCACATTACCTTGATAATATTAATTATCAAGTAATGAGATATAAAAAATAATAATTAAGTATGATGTAATAAAATAATAGTGAAATAGTTATTGGTATTTATAAATTCGTGATTAAACTAATACTACATTTTGAAAATAAATGTGCAGTTATGATTGATTAATAATAATATATATATATATATATATATTTTTAAAATATAAATAAAGAAGAGTTAAAAATGTAATAAATAAATACTATATTTTTTAATTTGTAAAACTTCCTCAGCAATATTGCATGAGTATGGTGTTGTAATTTATGTTTCATTTCGTTGGATGATTAAAAAAATCTTATCAGACATATGTCATTAATCTAACAAAATAAAATATAATTTTAGAATATAAAATATTCTAAATACGTTGATGATTTTCTAGGTAGGCGTGATATGGAATTAGATAAATTTGATTCCTTGACACATGAAATATTATGTCCATCTATAAACCCGAAATTGGCTAATTGGGTGTCAAATGACTTTTGACTTTGAAAACTAAACGAACAATTTTTTCTTCTCACCCACTTAAATTTCTTTGTTGTCCTTTAAAAATGATATATTTATTAGAGAAATAAATGATACAGGATTCGAGTTTCTACAAGTTATGTCTTTTAAGTATTCAACAATTAATATTATTAAACTATTTATAAATTATATAGCAAACAGAATATTTGAGCCTAGGGATGACTTAATGGCAATTTCACGACCATCTAGTGCCTT